GCGGCGCGGCGCGGACCTGCCCGCAGCGGTCGGCGATGGATGGCGGTTATGGCGGGCATAAATCTGGCAGGCGCGCAGGGCACGGACCCCGGCAGCGGCAGCAGCTCGGCTGTGTGGTTCCCGGTGACCTCTGTGCTTAGAGGCTGGCCTCTGGTGGGACCTCTGGGACGCTTAGTGCTTTGGAGTGCTGCGACCCAGCAGGGCAGAGGAGAGGGGCAAGGGAATCACTTTTACGACTTTCACTGCCATATCCATCTCCCTCCGCACCGTCAGACTTTGGTGGTGTATCACTTCTTTTACTGACAGGTTATTCATTTCGAGTCTGCACATCAGCATTTCTGGAAACACCTTAACATTGTTTTCTTGGTCTTGCTGCTGTAGCAGTATCCATAAAACAGGATGTTATGACACAGATAGGAAGTTAGCGCCTGCCTTGCATCTGTCAACACAGGTACTTGTGCTTAGGGCTCTGATGTCCCGAGACAGATTGTTGGGTCTTTTGACTGCCTGGCACCAACCTGGGGTGCAAAGGCCAGAGTGGGGCATAGCTGAAAGTCTCGGTATGATCAGAAAGTTTAGGAGGTAGCTTGGGAGATGCAGGAGCCTTTTTGCATCCAGACCTGGGAACGAGCACCTCTTTCCTCTGTAGACAGACGCTTCTTAGCAAATCCACAGCAGAAGTACTAGAGGCAGGAAAGCTCTATAAAGCATGGTGGGCTTCTTCAGTGGAAGGGGGAGGTAACCTGACATCATGCTCACAAGAGGACCCTGATAGTGAAGACTGAATCCCAGTCTTGAACTGAAAGTCCCAAGGAAGTCGTGAAGAGAACAGAGACCCAAGTGTGACATGCTGTCAGAAACATACACTGCCAGACAGCATGGCCACTATGTCCTGAGACACCAAACAGCTTTCAAGAAGTTACCCATTTCAGGCTGCACCAGAGAGAGGTGTCTTCAGTCTACAGGTCAGGCTCTTATCAAAATCCAAAATGAGGTTAGATGTCATCTTTCCAACAGGAGATGGAAAGGGGAGGTGTTTCTCATAAGTATCCAAAACATGGAAGAGTCCGGATGACTGCAGCAACAGCAGGTTGTCTTTCAATCTGAGAGCATATGCCTTCTATGAAATGATGAGATTTTCTTGGTTGGCAGAAAGCTGAGCTTTCTCAGGAGTTTGTCTGAACCAGCTGTTGCTTTGAATGAAGTCCAGGGAAAGTTGGGAAACAGCACTTCTCACATCTGATGTGCAGTTAATGCTGGGTGTCATCAGCCTTGGAGTAGTCTGTCAAGTCCAGGAAGATTCAGCCTCCTGCTGCTACTCAACATGGATGCTGAATGTAGGACATCAACAAGTGTCAGTTTCACAGGGGGAGGGCAAAGTGCCCTATGGAGGGTGTGGACTTGGGAAGAAGATCCGGAAGCTGTAGTGGTGTGAGCTTGCTAGTTTCAGAAAGGGGATATGGAAATTCCTGGGTCAACCACATCAGACTGCATGAAGGATTTCTGTGATACTCATAAGGGTATCTGGTCCTTGTGTGTGACCTAAAGGAGATCATCCACTGTCTGAGCTGGAAACCTGCTTGATCCTTCCCAGGAGAAGTACAGCAGATCCCCGTTGGTAGCTTGCTTAGGTATGTGAAAGGCACCATCTCTGGTGGGGCTGGGAGCGTAGTTATGGCAGGTAATGCCTGCTCAAATACAGGCAAGCAAGTGGGTGAGATATGTTTTACTGTAGAAGGATGAAGTGGTTACTACACTAATAAAGAACATGACAGCTTTCTTCCTAAATTTAGACTGGCTTGAAGCAGACAAGCTCACTGTATCTAGCAGTTGCATGTGATAAGTTCATGAAGGTAGGTTATGGGGTTGCCAGGCCACTGTTACAGTTTTGTTGTCCTTGGGACTCTGTTGATGCTCATGTGAGTGGCTAAACATAAGAGCCAGCGGCAACTTCTAAATCAGTGGTGCTGTCCTTACCTCCAGCATGATGAACCTTGTGGCACTTGAGAAGGAGCTCTTTTCACTGCTGTTACACAGACGGCTCTTGCACTAATGCAGAAAGTAAACTGTAAATTAAGTGCAGAATGGTGGCAGGCTGGGAGCCAACCGTGCCATCTTCTTGTTGCTCCCTATCCTTTGGAAGTCCCCTCCTTCAGGGAGTGACAAGTTGGGAATGCTCAGACACTTTGTGCACTGGGTCTGTGCAAACACTGCCCCTTAAAGAGCATGGTCACAAGGGACTTTAACGAGGCTGCTGAATTTCGTAGAGTGGGTGTTTCCTTGGGCAGTTGGCAACAAAAGATCCAACACTATTGGGCAGCAATGGGGATACATCTGGTAGGTGTGACTTATTTGGCGGGAGTTTGGCATGTGTGCTTTTGAAGGCTCATACTTGTCTTGGGTAAAGTAAGTGAAAAAAAATAGGGCTATAAATTTTGCTTTGGGAGGGAGATAAAGATGAAGCAGCATCCATGGCCACATCTACTCTATCAGATCAGAATAGCTGAAAAGAGGCTGAACCTTCTTAGCCTTTTTTCTGTGAAGGAGATGATGATAGTCAACCTTGTGGAGGTCCCACATAGCCTGTTGGCTTAAAGGGTCAATGGAGGGAGATGAGGAGGGAAGAGAGGAAAGTAATATGTTTTGTACCAGTGAACATGCAAATATTCTGTTTTTCTGTTCCACATTTCTTCCATATAAGAAACAGAGGCAGTGTGACAGCTAGATCACACTTCATATGTTCTGCCACAACATGGTAGCATTGCACAGCTGGAGACACTAAAGATCCTGGGAAACATCTAATGGCGAGGAGGGCCAGACAATGCCCACCAAACACTAGTGCTATCACCATTTCTGTAAGGATGTGAAAATCCAGGGGAGAGAAAATACAAGAGAGGAAGAGCATCCTTAATGTTGCACAGCAGAAACTGAGAGTGCTGATTCTGACCTGGCCTGGAGCTGGGAGATAGTTCCCAGGAGGTCTCCAGATCTGCAGATTTGACACTCAGTGAAGTGACTCGCCTGCTCTCTACTGCTGGGTGACTCTCACTTGGAAAGTTTCCCATGCACACGAGAGCTGCTTTCCGCGCGGGGAAGGGCAATGCTTCCTGTTTTTCTACAACAATGCTCCCTCCTCCTTCCTCCAGTTTCTCGGGCAGGTTGGCAGTTGCTATTGCGTCTGGGTGAAGTCTCCTTTGTTTGCTCTCCTGTTTCACCAGACCAACTTCCTTAATCTTTTTTTTTTACATCCGTGTTTGTTCTCCTGCTGCCACGTCGCCTGTATGTTCATAGGGCAAAGTGGTGTGAGGAATGGCCAGGAGCACAGGTGTGGGTTGCTTCCCACAATCCCAGGAAAAAAAAATAAAAATAGTTGCATGATATGCAAATTGGTTTTGTGGTTACGTGTAGGGTAAGGTTCTTTTTCAAGGCATCTTTTCCTTACTCAGTGCTGCAGAACAGACATTGTCCGTGGGCCATGTCCACTTCAACACCTCTGTAGTGGATGTTATACCTGACAGTAGTGTTTGTGACTAAACTGAACAAAGTCAGTTTCCTTTCCTTGATGGTGCTTTTGTGTATTGATCTATTAATCTATAGGTAATGACCAATAAGTCGCTCTCTGCAATGCAAGACTTAAAAGCGGATCTGGCTTTAAACATAATTATGTGGTTAAGAGACAACAGTTTTAAGAGTTGACTTCCTCACTATTTCAAGGAAGTGTCTTGTGCCTTTAAAAAGAAAGCCAAACACACACACAAAACCCCTGAAACAACAAAAGCCAACATCTATATATAATATGCAAAACCTACAGGGGACCGCGCAGGCTGACATGATGTCACTGGCTTTCTCTGCCAGCCTTTCACACGCCTCAGAGGCGAAGATGCTTTACAGCAGAGCTCTGTGGTTTCGTGTGTGATTGCACAGAGCTGTGCTCAAGGTCACGAGGCTGCCACTGCTCCCCAGCCAGCCTGGCTTTGTGGGAGAGGTCTACTTGTGGACTAGAAGTGGTTAGTTGGATGCAAAACTCCTGTTGCCACGCTTAATGCTGCTGTTTTTCTGAAGTCCTTGCTAAGCAGGCTGGGGGAGGTCTGCTGAATACAGTATCTATGTGAGAAGAAAAATAGCCTATTTAAATGTCAGTAGCTAAGCCCAATTCCTGTGCGAGAGTGCATGCATATACTTGTGCAGTATGAGTAATAACACAAAAGACAGGCTTCAGAAATGTGGCCTCATATTTAAATATCTCTAAAAGTCTCAGCTGAGACTTTTGTAAGGCCCTTCCAAAGGTACACTGTCCGTGCAGACACAGCTGGGGTGCTTACCCCAGAGCGGTGGAAGGACTGTACCAGTAGAAAGCATCTTTGTGCTTCATCTGCCATTGCATTATACTGAAGAATATTTGTTGGCTTTGTTTTTAAAACTAAGCCACATTACTTCAAATGCTGTTCCTATGGACAGACTGACAGACAACAAAAACTCAGTGGGTAAACCTGGACCACATCTCAGTGCAGTGGGAGTGTCCAGATGAGCAGGTTATGCCCTGAAATGCTGGCATGGGAGAGTGTGAGAAGTGCCCCTTTTTTGTCCGTGGTAAATGTGCAAGTAGCAGAGCGGGACTTCACTGGGGTCTTCTTGTGACTTCTCTGATATCATCTGTTCCAGGATCAGGCCCTTCAGGTGGCCTTTTCCACTGAACAACTCCATGCTTTCTGGCTGGGTTGGCAGGTGACTGATGTTTACTAATCTTGATCTAGCTTGTAATTTATGTGCTTTTTTTGTTTGGTTATTCTAGCATGCACAAACTTGTTGCAGTGCTTGGGTCACCTCAGCCTTCATATGAAGCTTCAGCTAACTCCTCCTGCCCTAAACAGAATATGGGAGATTCCAGGGAAGTAGCGATGACTGGGATGCTGGCTTAGGGGGTCCTGTTTGACCAGCCCTGCCAAGCACAAGCAAAAGGTTGATACCACATTGATGCGATGAGCTATTGCAGAAACTTATCCTAAAGAGCAGCAGTCTATACTTTGGGTTCTTCCTATATCGGATGCTCATGTAGACAGCCTGCGTGGAACAGGGTTATAACCATAACTTGTCCACTGTCAGGTAAAATTATAGCTGCTCTGTGGTTAACCTTATAAAGGATAAATCTACAAAATAGCACTAGCTTCAGAAGTGGCTCCAGAAGTCCTGCAATATCTGGGTGTTGTGCTGCAACAGGTAATGTTTGCAAGAGATGTGTGGAGTGCAGTATGTCAGCTACTGTCTGTGACAATTTAGTAGTTCAGGAGTTGCATCAGTACACTGTTACTGGCATCCCAGTGATGTAAAAGCAACAACTTTCTGTTGCTGGTGTTTGTCCTTTAGAAATGAGTACTGTGTTCAAGTTTACCCAAATAAATTTGCTTCTCTGCAGGCAACATGGTGGAGTGGTGTTTACCCCAAGATATTGATTTGGAAGGTGTGGAATTCAAATCCATGGCAAGTGGGTCCCATAAAATCCAGTCAGATTTCATGTGAGTACGTCTGAGCTATATTACCTCTTCTCTTGGCTGTACATCTATGCCACCACCCCTTCATTCAGAACATGCAAGAGTACCATTTATGAAGTTCCTGCATAAATGTGCTGCTAAACTGTATCTAGATGAGCCAAAGATACTCTTCAGATGCTCACGTCAACATCATATCAAGTACCAGCTAGCTGTGGGGATCTGCTGCAACAGCTTGGGCTGTGGAGGCCAACTGGTGAATGGGGCAGGCTCATTCTCAGTGCTGTGCAAATTTTAATGCATATTGGGCAAATCATACTGCACTGAGTCCACTATTGGGACTGTCAGCAGAGGCCTGGGGTGAAGGGGAAAGAATGGCAGAACTGCCATGTTTTGGGATTTTGAGGGAACTGGACTTAGGAAAAGGTTCTTAATTCTGCCAGTGCTCTTGGATCCTTTAAATGCTGTGATAAACAGTCCTTGCTTTCTTCTTTGCTAGCTGCTTCCTTCAGTGGAAGTCATAAGATAGGAATTTTCTGCATTCCCATCCTTTTATAAACTCAGTGTTGCAGTGCAGCAATGTTTTGCAATGAATCACAGTGTAACAATTCCTTTTGGTCAGGAATAACAGTATCTTTCTCAAAGGCATGTGAACTGAACCCTTGCACTCAGCTAGAGCATGCTTCAATGTGCTGGCACCCAAAATACGAGGTAGCTAGACTATCCTCAGAACTTTGTGCACTGCAGGCTTTTTTTCTTCCTTGGAAGAAGAGCCCTGCATTGACTGGGTCCTGCATCCTCTGTTGGTCTGCCTTCCAAGTTCTTTCCTTACTTGAGTTCCTCACCAGCCTGTGATGTGGCTCGTAGGGGCTTTAGTAGGAGCTCTTGCCTTAAATATCCTGTCTTCCTGAGAAGACTAGGACACCCAAGGCCTGTCCTCAGCCCTTGCATAGCAGGGTGGGATTTGACAGCATTCCTTAAAGAAGGAACTGTGTTCCCAAATCAGTATTTTTAGCAGTCAGTTACCTATCTTTATTTCTTTTCCCTCTTTTTAACATTAACCCTTCTGTCAAACTTTTGTCTCCAGTTATTTCCGGAAAGGGCTCTGTTTTGGCCTGGCCTGCTTTGCCAACATGCCTGTGGAGAGTGAGTTAGAGCGTGGTGCTCGCATGAAGTCTGTGGGGATTCTCTCCCCTTCCTATACCCTGCTGTATAGGTACATGCACTTCCTGGAGAACCAGGTCAGGTAAGTTCCCTTGGGAATGGGACTGGCCACTCCCCACCTGGGAGAGGTAACGTTGCCTCGATGGAGAGCAGTTTTGGGTGTGAGAATTTGGCTACAACGCTGAGCTATGACTTCCGTGAATGACTACTTCTCCAGAAAGAGTTACAGGTTCACAACAGGAAGGAGACAAAGAACTGATTAACAGCAGTCTATTTATTGCTAGCAGGCTAGTCAAATACTTATTTTGTGTGGACTTACGTGTCAAGGGGAGAGCTGAGTGGACAAGTTCTCCTTTTCTCTTTCTGGAGACCATTTTACTAAGGGCTCACAAGAGATTTCTAAACCTACAGTGGTGATACTGGATAGGTGTGTGCTTCAGCTGTGTTGGGTGGGCCTGGCAGGGAAAATGGTGATGGTGGAAGGGAAAGCTGTTTCTACCTGTGAGCAGACTTAAAATGGGATCAGTACTATGCATACATTGGCTCACTGTCTGCTTCAGTCCTGCCCGTGTTCCCTGGCTGCTCTGAAAGCTGGTGTTACTCCTGATGCTTCAGCTGCCCTTCTGCTAAGTCTGTGCCACTAAGGCACCCTGGGCTCCTGTGCTAGCTGGGAAAACAGATGTTGACTGGGGGAAAGGCACTAAATAAGTAGAGTCTGGAGAAAATACAGATCTCCCCTTTTTTTCCTTTCTTTTCCAGACACCAGCTGGAGATGCCAGGGCACTACTCCCATCTAGAAGCGTTCTATGATGACAAGAAAGGAGTTCTCCCTGATAGCAAGGGCACCCCCACCTCTCAGCAACCTGTTCACTGGCTGCCGTCCATCCACAGATACATGTACCCAGAGATGAAGGTGAGGCAGGTGCTCTGAGGCTTGCAGGAATGGGCAGTGTGCTGCTGCTCCTTGCTGGTGTCTCATACTTTATATAAGCAGTCACTCCAGCACTTTGTAGGCTGCTTTAGACAAGATTTTGTTACTTGGACTGTTACAAGCTGCAGTTCTGTCATTGCTGTGTGTTGGTCTTGCTCCCACATTTAGACTTAGCATCTGTGCATGTGTCCCTGTTTCACCTCTGAGCTGTTTTCTTCCCTTTCCCTCCACCTGCAGATCACACACCCTGCTGGCTGCATGTCTCAGTTCATCAAATTCTTTGGTGAGCAGATCCTTGTCCTCTGGAAGTTTGCCCTGCTGCGCAAGCGCATACTGATATTTTCACCACCCCCAGTTGGAGTTGTCTGCTATAGAGGTATGTTTCCAGGGACACTGCAGAGCTCTGATCTAGTAGGCTGAAGCACTGCAGAAATGCCTGTGGGTACTGAGGGGATAGACGTCATGCAGGTCTTCAAAAACCATCATGACCATTCCTTGTGAAGATACCCTTCAGCCTATGCTTACCTGCTTCCTACAAAATGCTTTTGTTCAGGCCTTTCAGGTAAGGATCTACCTGGTAGTGTCAAACACAGTTCTTGTCAGCACAGGACAGTAAGAGTCCTGAATTAATTTGTGGAATCTAGAACTTGGGATTCCTATGGGAGAACTGATTATTTCCTACCCAAAACAGGATGTCCCCACTTGACAAGTTCTGGTGTTCAGGAGCATTTTCAAAGCTCTAACCATTGTTTTCATAGAAGTTGAGAGAGAACTGAGTAAGTGGGGTCCAGAATGCCCTTGAGGGAATACTGAAAGCATCTCAGGATGTACTTCTCTTGTCTGCAGTGTACTGCTGCTGTTGCCTTGCCAATGTTTCTCTGCCTGGTCTTGGAGGAACTGTCCCAGAGTCCAAACCGTTCTTCTATGTGAATGTGGCAGACATAGAAATGCTGGAGACAGAAGTATCATATGTGGCCTGTAAGTATGATGGCTTAGGTGTGACGTTTTTAACTTCAGGCTGCAAAATGTCTTGAGACACCAGACTGTGGAATAAAACTGATGAGAAATAGGATGTGCATGGAATGACTAACTATGAAAGCGGGAGAGAACAGTTGGTCTGCTGGGAAAGCAACATGCTGCTCTGAAAATCTCGGATTTTGGCAGGTACAACAGAAAAGATCTTTGAGGAGAAACGGGATCTCTATGATGTCTATGTGGACAACCAGAATGTGAAGACACATCATGAACATCTGCAACCACTCTTGAAAATTAACAATGCTGACAAGGAGAAGTACCGACGGCTCAATGACCAGAGGTAATAATAGAGATCTGGGTGGTCCTGGTCCTGATAGCGGAGAGCAGTGTGATGTAAAGAGTACACTGCTGCTTTGTACTTTCCTTCTTGTCTTAGGATTTTCAAAGTTTCCCACTGCTTCAGCTCATCTCTTTGAGATGCTGGTTCCACTGTAGCTGACTGGTATGAGAGCCCCTGGGCACACTGCACATATACAATCATTCTGCCAGTGAGCTGATGGAGCAGATAGAAGGCAGGAAGAGAAGCAGAGGTTATGACTCACCATCGGCTCACCACTGATCAGTAACAAAACTGAAAACGGGCTGCTTTCTAGTCCAGTGCCTTATAAAGACTACCTTCTTGCCTCAGATATTGGGGCAACATTGTTAAGTCTAATAGGTCTCCAAAAAATGGATGTGAAGTTTTTAGTTGTAAACCTTGTCTTCTCATAATGCTTTAAGGTTCACTGTAGGTATGTGCAATTAATCTGTCTCCCTTCTCTCAGGCAGATGTTAATGTACTCTCAAGAGGTGGGTGAGGACTGTAGCTCCTGTGAAGAGGACCTTTTCATCTTGTGAGTGGCTACCTCTAATACTTAGTTGGTCATTGTTAGGTTTAGGGAGCCTCTTTCACTGATTTCATGTTGCACTGGTTTGGCATATTAGGAAACGTCATGGTTAATATAATTCCATAGTCAGCTGTCTTCCTCTGCAGATGCAAGAACCAAACTGGCTCTTCCTCTTCAGATCATCATTTGAGAAGCCAAGTGCAGCCCTATTAATCTCCACTGGGGTCTCTTAAGTGCTGGGAGGGAGAAGGGAATTTTAAAACCACAATTAGAAATGCAATAATCCCCTCCCATTTTTGAAAACATAAGCACCGTAGGACTTTTCATGCCAGAACATTTGGCTCAGGAAAGGATAGTGTCTGTGGGAAGCAGGCAGTGTACTGTGCTGGGGGAGGTACAGTGTGGAGATAAGACCTGTGTGTGAAGGGCTGGCCCATTGATGTGGTTGGCTTTGTACTTGGCAACAGTGGATCCAGACCTGGGTGTAGCACCCAAGGTACGGAATTAGATGAAAGCCTCCACCACCTTCACTGCCTGTTGCTATTGTTCACAGTCTGCAGCAGGTGAGAAGTAATGGGGTGAAACTGTGTGAAGGGCTGTCAGGGCAGAGCTCTGATCACTGAGCCGCGCAGATGTAGTCAAAGCTCTTTATGAGCAGCCTTACACGTTCCTAGGAAAGCACTAGTAAAGCAGCAGCTCTTGGTAGCACAGCAGCTGCTGTGTTCTGCACCAGCAGTGGGGAATTTGTTTACCCAGTGGCTGCTAGATGGATGACAGGTTTCCTCCTTTGCATTATGGGAGCTACAGATCTGGTGTACCCACTTGGTTATCACAAAGTACACATTAGCTGATAACGTGGCTTGCTTCTGAGGACTGCAATGCCTACCATAGATCAGCCAGACAGAAGCACTGCTGTAAACTAAAAGTTACTGCTTTATCTGTTTATTCTGGGTCATCCATAGGGTGGATGGAGAGCTACTACAACATCACCTAAGGTGGGATCTGTGATTTGAGGGGGTTAAATGCAGTTCTGGGGCTCTGCTGCCTGTTTGGTAAATATGCTATCTTTTTGGGGCCAGTGACATCACCTTAGCTGACTTTATCCTATAGGTTTTTCATGGAGCAGAACAACCGCATATTTCAGACACTGATGGAGGTGTCAGCCAGCCAGGACAAGACGCTGACAGCTGACCACGCACGAGGCATGGGCCTGGATCCCCAAGGGGATCGAAGTTTCCTTATGGACCTGCTGGAAGTGTATGGCATTGATGTTATGCTAGTCATTGACAACCCCTGCTGCACTTAAACCAAGGGCAAGAGAGATGGGGAGCAAAGATCGCTTTTTAAAGACTACCAGACATTGCTTAGGAGGATCACTGGAACTCACCACAGCCACTGGACAGATCTCATTTTATTTAATAACTTTATATGGAGAGTATTTATAATTTTAAAACAAAATGTGATTTTTTTTCCCCCCCTCCTCTACTTCCCAAAGAGTACCTGCTCCAGGTGTGGTGTTTTTTTTTTTTTGTGTCCCTTTCTCTTTTGTGGTTTTTTGGTTTCCTTTAGGTAGGACCAGTGGCACCTTTGCACCAATCCTCACTGTTACCAGTGATAGCTAGGCTTTGGCCTAGCCTGGATACCTGAGAGCTGAAGACTTCAGGAAAGCACTTTGTCTGATGGGGACCAATGTGAAATGCTGTTGATGAGCTCTCAAGAGTTGACTGGAAAACCCTCCTATCATCCCCTCTTCCACCTGGGGACTGAAGAGAGCTTCAGCACAGGCTGTTAGTGGCCCAGTCTCATAAAACACCTGCCCTACCATGTTTATTGGTGGGAACACTTAAACCAATGATATAAAACAGGACTCCTTTAAACACCTTTCACTCAACTTTTAGGAGCTAAGTTGGAATAAAGCCACCCTTCCTCGTCTCAATGGCAGAAGCAAGTCTGGGATAAGGGGGTGCTACAGGATCTTATGACTTTGCTTATCAGAGCAGCACCGTTTCACTTCCAGCATTTGAGGTGGTATAAACTGGCAATGACTATACCTACCTATCTCATAGCTGGAGAAGAGCACCAGCTCTACTTAATCCCTCCTACTGCTTCCTCTGTTTTTTTTTAGTTGCATCACAGCTGCTGTTTTGGTTTAAAATCTTCAAACCAGCAAGATGGTCTCCCATTTAACAGGGACCAACATCACTGAGCCACCTTGCAGCCACTATGTTTTCCAGCCTCAGCTCACATGCTGAGCTGGACTGGGCTGATTAAGTATGCTTTAATTAACATCACTAGCCCTTCCTTTGTAGCAGATAGTACTTGTCACTCCTTTGCTTTAACACTGCTGATCCTCCTTTTGTCGACAGCCTTCAGCACTGCCTGCTGCTGTCCCTGGCTTTCATTGTGAGAGAGCGAGCAGTATGTGACCTTTCAGCTGGAATCGTTTTGCCGTTCACAGGAGGTTCCCTTGGAGTTTGGCGTTCTTACCTGGTGCAGCTGCTAGAAGCAATGTTTACCAGCAAGCCTTTTTTCTCCTGGGCAGAGAAGCTGTAGAAGCAGATGAACAGTTTCTTATTCATGTGCTGTGAAAAGAATAGGATTCAGTTCATGCAGGACTAGTGGTTACTTCCAGGAAGGCTATCCTAGTAAAGAGTAATCCCTTCGCCATGTGAAATCCAAGAATGGTACTATAGGTTCTAGGTGTGACATATTGCTTTGCCCAAAATTCTTCAGCCAGTAGTAGCATCAGCTTTAAGCCAACTGCTCTTCCTGAACTGTGTCTGTAGCTAATTAGCTGATGCTTCTAGACTTCAGTACCCTTGGAGCCTTTCTGCAGTTTGTAGAAATGCAAACTGTAGCTGATGTATCCATTTATCCTAGCATTTTAGAGGATGAGACAGAGCCTGTACCACCAAAGTCTTAACTGCTAATTCTTTTTAAAACAGGTAAAGCAAATGTTCTCCAAGCAGACCCTCTGTGAATTGTCTCCTCTGGAAGGAAGGAGGCTGGTATGTCCTGTTTTTCCTTGAAGGCTGCCTTATCTGCAGCAAAGTAGTTTTGCTTGCTGTGGATTCAGAGGTTTTAGTGAGGTGTGGGATCAGGGGCCTCACAAGGCTTATTGCACAGTTCATTGGTAGGACCTTCACGTTCCTGTGATCTGCCTGTCTCTGAGCAGCTGCTCCTCTGCCTGCTTTTTCAGGGCTTTGGATGTTTTTGTACAGGAGAAAACATTCTGCTGCTTTCATTGCTGGTTGGTCACAACTGTAATGTAATCATCCTTAGAAGGTTGGGGGAAAAAATGGAGAAACAGGAAAAACCCAGATCTGAGTATCATTTAATGGAAAGACCAGTCTCATTTCCTTAAGAAAAGACTTTGTCTTTAAACTGACACCTCTAGCATGAAAGTGACCCACAGTCTCCATGCTTTGTTCTAACTTCCACTTTAGTTTTTAACATGCTGTCTGCAGTGAAGACCCCTGAGGAAGTATAGCTGGCACTGTGTTGCGGTCACTTACTTAACTTCCTTCAGATATAAAAAAAGGAACTGAAACTAGAGTAGCAATTCTTCCTCTCACTTTCTTGAAGGTTTGCTACATAATTTAGCTGTGGTCAGCTGTTAATAACTTTCTATTCTCTTTGATGGCAGTAGTTCTTTTGCTGAACAGAAACAAACCTATAATCTGTCGTTGAAATTTTAACACCTCTGCAGTCAGAGGCTTTCAAAGACCCTGTGTTAGAGCGCTATGTTCACAAGCAGTCAGCACATGAGGTCTACCAGACAGCACTGATAAAGCCCACCGAGCAGAACCTCCACAATTACTATCTGATGTTTATTGAACCTCTGCTTTCCAGAAACTACATCTTCAGTTGCTAGCAGTAGGCTGATGAAGAAGCATCAAAGCAAGCAGATTACTGTAAATGTAGCATCCACACTACATTCCCAGTTGGATGGCTACAGCCCATTTTGTTTTCTTCTGTGTAATTTTGTTTATCTGCAGCCTCCCCTGGCAAGTGACTGCTACAAAAGTCAGACAGTTGCTAGACAGAAAACTGAACAGAGACTTCTCTCTCCTAACCCTTCCGTGTTTGATTCACTGCAAAAGAACTTCCCACCTGCACTCTCCTTTTCTAACAGACAGTTTTTATTGTTGTCATATGTGGAAAATCCTTGATAAATGTGTATGTAATACAAACAAATGGCTACAGCTTGGGACAGGAAGGCTTCTTCAGCAGAATGTTTTCATTTGGAACCAATTTAACTGAATCATATCTTTCCAGGAGAGAACATAATTCAAGGTAGAACAGTTAAGTGCAGACGTGTAAAATCCCCTCTTTGACACTTAATAGTTGCTTTTTCGAATACTAAAGTATTCAAAAGCTGGGAGACAGTTACTTGGTGTATTTTGAATTAAAAGAGGGAGGGGAGTGTGGCATAAGGTAGGATATTGCTGATTACCATAAAATCCTCTTCTCCATTTGAATTACTTTGCCTTTACAGTGGTGCCTTTAATTTCTTTGGTGTAACGCCTCTGGTCAGTCGCTTGTGATCAGAGCCCAGGTTGAATGGTGGTTACAGTAGCCACACACATCCTGTGTCCTGCTAGACAGAGTCTGGTATGCGTGTTCTTTCTAACACCCAAGTCATAGTATAGCCATTGCAGGTTCTCAGTTGGTACTTGCTTGAGTTTAAACAGGGGAGCAAGAGATTCATAAATGCATCTTAATTTAAGTTGCACTAGAAATGTATAATCAAAAAATGAATTATTACTATCTGGATTGGACATAAAGCTTGGAAGAGAAATAAAAGCTAGGTTTTAAGTCTGAACAAGGGATACCATGCCAGGCATTTAAATCAGGCAAAAGTCTTCTCACTGTAAGGTTAGGCCCAGCTGCATAGAGCCAAGTACAACCAAGAATTGTAACAGATACTAGGATAAAGGCATTTTACTGAATTAGAGTTCAGATTGTCTTAGAGACATACTAATACCTTCTTTTCTAGCATATATTAAGTAGTTACTCCAGTGTATGGTAGAGACAATGGTCATGGCTGTCACAGGAAATGAGCTCACCTATCCAGTATCCTTAAAGGCAGATACTTTTCAAGAAAAAGTAGCTTACTGTACAGCTTGTTCTGTAAAGCAGTATTACTGTGATACTGCTTCCATTTAAGAATGGCCAAAGTTAATGGGCAAAAAGCTAGGAGTAGCAGTGGCCCTCTTGGTGCCAGACTGTGGAAGGGACAGGCATGCTTTGCTCTGGGAAGGAGAGGGCAAGAGCACTCTGTCCTAATGCAAACTAGGTACAAAGCATGCATACTAACCCAAATTCTGTCATCATAGCTATTACTTCCAAGTGAAATTGCTGTCTTGTTTCTGTCCCCCCTACAAAGCTAGTGGTCTAGTTATTATGGGAGAAGACAACACACGTCTTTTGTGAGGGACTGGAATGTACTGACTTAACAGAATATGTCTGTCTACAACAGAGGGTACTAAATGCCTGTGAGCCAGGATTTCAGGCCCTCATTAATGCAACATGCAACTCAGATGGGAACGTTTAATCGTGGTTAAAATAAACAGGTGCCTTGGGCTGGTCCATCATTAGGTTGTTATCCTTCTTTCTCATTTATGTTGCAGTATTTTAAGGCCTTCTAGACTGGACTGTAAGTTGAAGCCAGGGTGTTTTCATGAGTGGGACCTAGGATTCTACTCCTGCTTCCTGTTTTGGAAAATTGCTTGTCTTGCTGTCATACAGAAACATGAAAACTGAGTCCTTTCCTTAACACTGTAGATAGTGGGTTCAGCCCCTGCTTATTTTATGTAATGTTTTCCTCACACCTCCCTCTGAATGTTGCAATTCAGAGGTCTAGAACCACCCCATACTGGAAGACCTCTGAACTGCAGAGGAAGGGGAAGAATGACTTCAATGGTATTTATACAAGCTAATCAACTTATGCTGATATGAATATTTAAATATCAGTCTGTGTCTCAGATGATCCTTGGTACTTCAACATCAGAACAGCGTTAACAATACCAATCCTGAAGGGAGCTCTTGGTTACCCTCAAGCAAGGAATCACATTGCAGTGGGAGCTGTGTGTCTGATACTATGGCAGAGAATGAGTCGTTCTCCCTGTAAAATGGTACAGGTGACCCAGAAGCTAGTTCTTATCATCTTGCCCCTTGCAGCAGGCTGGTTGTAGTTCTAACAGCTCTGATGTTGTTTGCATCTTGCAGATGTGTGGTTGCTCCCATAAGCCTGTGGCTGTGTAGAGAAACTGCTTACTAAAACATGGGTATTTTTTAATACAATTAAAGCTTACCTTTTTGAAATGGCTGCTGCCGCCTTGTCTTTCCTGCCACTTGAGGAAAAAAAGCATTGCTGATTTATTACAGAAGCGTCAGCTTGAGGAAGATCTCAGTTGGTGAGAACTGCCCCGACTCTGAATGAGCCAGTGGCTGCAGAGCAACGTTCCAGGTGTCCCTGTGGCAAGCACAAAGTAGAGCACAGCCAACATGTTCCTTGGAGAGTGACTCAGGGGTCCACTGGGCACTCTTAATTGCTGCAGATCAAAAGAAAGCAAGCACAACACAGGCCCTATCACCAGCATAACTATTAGAAAGAACTAGCAGGCTTCTGCTCCTCTAGATCTTAGTCAAGAAAAGATGGGTGCTTGCCCCAATATCTTAGGTAATTCCTTTCTCCACAGTATAGTCAAGGGAAGGACAGCACTCAGTTTGTCAGAATGCAGAAAACCAACCCTACTCCCCCTTTCAAAGCATTTTCCTTTAGCAAGTCTCCAGCAGAGGATGCTGTTGCAGCAGCTTGCAGCCAAGATGCAGTCTAACAAAGCTGCTGGAAATCAGTTCACTAACGTCCTTATTCTGATTACAGCAAAGAATCACCAGATGAACTTAGATCACAGTGTAACACAGGGACTACGTACAAACAGCCAGTCACATCAGAAAAATTAGGATTTTTTCTTTTTTCCCATAAACAAGGCAGAATCATGTGAACTTGTAAGTTACAATAAGGGCAACCAGCAACCTCGGTTAAGTCAAAAGTATTTCCTTCCAGCAGTTAAAGCAAAGCTATAAACAAAAGCTCAGAAAAGCAAGAAAACTAATTACAGTACTGAGGCTTAAGGGGATGTAGGTTGTGTAAGGAGTGGTGAGCACTGTTTACATTAGAGAAGAGCAAACAGACACAAGGAATAATAAAAGTTATTTGGATGCCCTTATTTGTGTTATACTACCACAGGAATAAAAGGAATACTTACCAAAAAAAAAAAAGGACTCATTTGGCTTGTTAAAGGAGTCTTTCCACATGTAATTCATACAGCTTTGGGTCAATGATGACATTTTCCAATTTGCTTCTCTGTAATATACCTAAACTTGATCAAAGGAATACATTTCTACTATATTATTAACTGGAACTCTGTGCTGTTGAATCTGGCAAGATGAAAAAAAGAACATAAATATCCAGATATGGGGAATTTTTAAACTTCCTCTCAAGCTTTGTATTACTGATCTCCAATTTATTTTGTGGCAGAGTAAATAACCAACCACCTGTTTTAATGTGGCAATTCCAACATTTTATAGACTTCCTTAGCATTACTTCCCAAAAAATAAATTTTTATCAAAATCCCAGGTTTTGTGAGATTTATACATAGGTAAAGTAGACCTAAACTCTTAAAACACAAGGACAAGTGTGCTTTCATTTTACTTTAATATACAATTGCATTAAAGCAGAAGCATCTGGCACACAGCACTCAGCCTGCAGTGCTGTAAATGGAACACTGATGACTTCTTTGGGGGGAAAAAAAAAAAAAGCCATCAAGTTAACATGCATTTCTCAGAACTTTCGTTTACATTTTTAACCCCTTTGAGACTAGCCACATCAGCCACTTCCAATGGAAGTACCCTGTGCATAAAAAGAGCCAAATGGCTTATTAGTCTGGTTGGGTTAATCAAGTTAATGAGGTCTCACGTGCTTTGAAGAGACCCTGATAAGACTGGTAAACACTGGCCCCTTTGACAGGAATTCTCATTGTACTGCTGCATGGAGCATCTGCTCTCTCATTCTGGGATCACAGAAGAACCGGAGTTTCCGGGGTAACAGCTTCACCTCCACAGGCATAGCTTCATACTCCTCATTATCAATGCCAAAGGATCCCTCAGTGCCCTGTGTGCAGATAACAGTGCTGATCAGGGCTAAACATCAAACATTATTTTAGCAATGCTGTAATTCTGATACCTGATTTTTACTAATAGACTGTAGTTGAATACTTAGCTGAGCCTTAACCAAGATGACCCCCTTCCCTGTGCCTTCCAGCCCATTTGGTCTCAACAAGACAGTGAGAGCTATCTTTCATGGCACATAATATATTGAGTCTGTTGCATAAGATGTTACCTCACTTAGTTGCTAATTGGTGATAATTAAATGCTAGGGAGCTTTAATGACCCACTGTTTATACTGAAGGATTCTTTGCTATTGGAACTACAATTATACGCACTTAGATCTTGGTCTGCCAGTGGTGATACAAACTAATCTGCAGCAGTTCCTGTTAAATAACTCCTATTAAATTCATGTTACAAACACCTTTTGGTATTGTTTTACTATATTGATCTGAAACGTGAGATGCAAAGTAATTCATGGGTCAAGAATTGCTCAGTAGTAGAATATTCTTAAGCATTTTTCTTTAATACTGATAAAGTCACCAATGATTAAAACCATTCATCAAAATGGCAGGTTGACTTTACCTAAACAACTTTGGTGACTGCTTTGCATGCACTTGACTCAAGGTAGGGCTATGTTACGTGGATACTCAAACTAGCTCCAAGTGAACTTGCATACCAGAACAGCACAGATTAGAGCAAGTAGCACAGGTTCTCGAAGTCAGAGCTACAGCAGTCCTCCTGGATCAACATATCCCACTTCTCTGCAAAGCTGGTGAGACTCATCTGAGTGACCTCCAGTTCCTTCATCAGAAACAGGTAATGGAGTCGAACAGCACTGCTTTGTGCCATGCACACATACTCTGAGGATCTTAGCAACAGCTGCAGTATGAACACCTCATTTTATACCACAACACTTACTTATGGCTCAGATGCACTTAGCTCAGCACTCCAGAAAATTCTTTCAGAATCACAAAATTACCATGATACGAGTTTGATGCGAGTTAGGACACTGGCTAATCATGACTTTGTAATTCATGGTTCTCACTTGGAAGTGACAGATTTTTTCACCTTTCACCACATTCTAGTCTCCCTTAATATGGAATTATTTTGCCAAATGGTAGATCACTTGCAGATAGAAATGATCAGATTTATTTCATGTCCTTATAAGAACAAGAAACCATCCTCCCCAAGGCTGCAATAACAGCATCTTCATTCTAAGAGGCAACAAAAGACTAGCCTCAATTACAAAGGTGGACAGTTTTGGCTTCTTTTTCATCCTCATCTGTTCAAAGTTTTGAGACAGTTCCCTATAGCAATCTGATCCCTATTGCCTTGTCTGACCCTACTTGGTCTCCATAAAGTTTCTATATTTATCTTCTCTACAGCACAATCCCTTCTAGGGCAAAATGTACACAGGTCTTCAATAGTAAGGAGAAGGTGTGCATATGGAACACATGCGAGTAAGAGACCCTTTACAACCACTACCACTGTCTACATAAAGGGCCTGCCACTCTTTACGGGTAGAATGAAGCTCCCCTCTCGTTTACAGAACACTTGGGAAATACCAGTATGTGTTTCCTGGCCAGGGACTTGGTTTCTGCACTGAGGGAGTGTCTCACTGGCAGGGTAATCAACCTCCCAGATTTGGAGTGGGGATTTCTTAATGTGCAACATCAAGTGGTATGAGAAAATAAAAGTGACAGAGTTTTCCAGCTTCCTCAGCTTCTCACCTCTGGAAGTTGCAAGATGCATCTGCTGGCTTGGATGCACTGACTCCCTTCGGGGCACGTATGTGGATCACGCATCTTTTGACTTCTGTTCAAACCGAAAGAGAGGTAAGGTAAGGACATAGTTCTCTGGGAAACAGCCATCTTTAGGGATGACATGTTATTGTAGGTTGGTAAATCACTATGCATTTGGTAAACTTAGAGGTTATGTATATATACAAATATTTGTGGGTTTAACTGAGAAAGTAAAACAGACATTCCCTCTTCTGCAGTCAATATGTACCAGTATGCACTGACAGCCTCCAACCTGCTTCTGCTCTGAGGCTCACTGACTATATTTGAACATATAGCACAGTTTTCGCTCCTCACATGCTGAACTGTACAATTCCTGCAATGACTACCATCTCCTCATATCATATGCACCCACGTAACTTACCAGCAACCTAAACAACCCTAAGCCAAAAACCCTGATAGAATTATAGTTATATTGAACCACTAAAAACCAAACAAACCCCCCTGACTTTTTACATCAACACCAGTCAGCATGATGTTTCTTACCAGCTGCTTTTACATCATTCTTGTGAAGAAACCTCACGTTGTACCCATTCCAAATCATCTATCCATTTTTGTCAGTTACTCTCTCTCTTCCAGTGCCTGTGAGATTCTTATTTATGTACTGTACTCAGGGAAGCGCCATTTTCCTACTTCTGTGGATATCAAATGGGATCACGTAGAAGGCAGTTGCCTGTCTTAGAAAGCTGATGGCGCAAGTGTCATGTGGTCTTTTTCAAGACTTAGGTTGCTGTCCTGTCACTGGATTTACTGCTAGAGAATAGCACGTTGTGATTCCTTTTCCCAATGTGTGCTGCTGCAGAGTAAGCACAAGCTCTAGGGTACGCTGACCTACCTCTGGCCTCCTGACTGAAAACACACATAACCTTTTGGCTGACATTTGACAAAGGGTACACCACACCTCAGGCAGTAACACCTCAGTTTGTGCCCCTCTACAGACAGAAAGCAACACACAAATAGCAAAAGGGACAGCAGAGTTACAGTGTTAATATATCACAGCTCTCAAGCACAGCAGAATTACCACAATATTCTTCCGGCAGGCAATGCCAGCTGTCGCCTATATTTCTGTCTGTTCTGTAGACTGATATGAAAGAAGAGTGTATTTAAATATTGCCCAGGAAAAGAAGTCATAAAAACACATCAGAAACTCCCTATATACCAAGCCTTATATGCCCTAAAGAAGGCAAGTACCTCTTAAAAATCACAGAAAATCACAGAGAAAGAATGTGAGAAGAGAGGGTTGAAACAGGAGATGATAACCAAAGACAAAGGAAGAAAAGCTAAGATACCAAAGGAAAGGGTAGGGAAGGACAGACGCTATATTAACTGTGGAAAGTTTGGCTTTAATCAGAAGACTGATGAGTGAAAGTGAGGGAACTAAACATCCTCCCATCAGTATAAATTATAAATCATGGATGGCATGCAATACTGTAAGTTTAGACGGTGCTATACAAACAGGCAGCAAGATTCCCCAGGTAAAGGCTAACCTGCTTGAAGTTTAACATAAAAGGTCCTAGATACTGAACTCTGGTGAACAAATAGATTTTTTTGGACCACAAAGGTAAATGAGGCTCTGTACAATAGATGCGGTTATGAGGTCAAGGTAAGCACAAAGAGACAAGACATGGAACTAAAGATCAGTCAAAGGAGAACACTGGTAGTAGAAAATAGACACAAGTCCACTTGCAGGGATTGCCTCTCTAGTGGCCCAGAATAAAAGGATCAGAAGTAATTTGCATTTGATTCTGCTCCTTACTCAAGACAATACGGCAAGGTGAAACAGGAGAAAGACTAAAGCCTAAACAGCAACAGTTTCAATTGATGGTTTTATCCCACTTCATGTGCTGAATCACAAAAATAGAGGCAGAGAGAGAACCATAACATCCACTGCAGATAACACACATAATTTCAACCTAGTTTTCATCTCCAGAAGCGACCAATGTTAAACGATTCAGAGTAATACACTCTAACAAAACCCCCCCCGTCTTTTGCCCTGTAGCTGATAACTGTATTCATGCCCTGGAGTGACAGCTCTTCATACTTCCATATACAAAATCTAAGATGGCTACCAGGATGTGGATTACTGGTGCTACACTTTCCATCCCCACTGTCCTTCCCTCCAGCACTTCTTAATAAGCACTACAGTGTAACCGCCCCTTCTTCACCCACCTTATCTTAAACATCAGCTCTACCCTCTCAGAGATACTCCCATTTACACAACTTTGATCCACAGCTGGAGGTCACTTCTATACCTGGGATGACCTACTCCTTCCTTTGAATTCCAACAGCAGTTGCCCTCCAGCATTCTGATGCACGGCCTCCCCCAACACACACTGCCTGAGCCTGCATGGTAGCTTCCTGCTGGTTGTGTGGTTTCCTCTGCATGATCCAGCAGTTCTAACAGGCCAGTACCCTCATCAATACAAAAAAAGCTTGATATCTGCACTAGTAAGGTATTTTCCCTAAAAACCTTTTCAACCCCCCAAATTTTGGTGGAATTTAAAACTATGTATTAAGGACGAAGGAAAAAAGAAAGACCTTCTCCACACATTTCCAAAGACAAACCCTGTTGGTACTAGGCAATGGGGAGCCTCTAATAAAGGGCTTCGTTCAAACCTAGCTGCCCAAGGCATTGTGTGGGGGAGAGCTTCCCCAAAGACCCTAATTTTGCCTTGCAAAACCAGGGCACATTTTTTCTGTTCTGACTCCTCTCCGTAGGACTAACCAGTCTCTCCTGCTGCTGCCCCATCCCACACCTCTCTCTTTCTCTTTCTTTGTTACCTACAGAATTTTGGGCACCATTTAATCAAAAAACTTGTTTCTTTGAACTTTGCTTGAACATCAGCTCAAAGCTTTTGGTACTGCCTCTAATTAGCTCTAGCCAGCAGGGCATATTAACTCTCATCA